ATCATATTTTTATACGCCGCCTACGAACAAGCAAATGCTATCAAACAAATAAGCATATCGAGTACTCCTTGTTGCACATCCAAAAATAAAATATGTATATATAGAGTATGAAATATTTATCTACATCGGATTTAAAATCAACTATTGATATAATACTTATTGATATATTTCACACTGCTTTAAATCTTTTATATGTCTTATTTTGTATTTTTATTCTAATTCTACTTTATTTTATATACATTTCTTTTTTTTTAATGTTTTTTAGCAACAAATTTTTTTTGGGCTAAGCATAAAATTATTGGTTGTATTAAATATATACATTGTCACATATTATATCTTAAAAAATAAGATATTATTGATAAATAAAACTTTTATATACTAATAAATAATTGATATTTAATAATTGATAAGCTAATTATAATTAATTATAATTAATTGATAAGCTTCGAACTTGCGTGCCATTTTCTTAAACAGCGATTTCAAGTGATGAAATGAAATTGAAAGATAAATTGATCATCATTTGACTATCAAAGATTCTTTTGAAGAGCCTATTTTAACAATAAGCAATTCCACGAAGCTTACTCTCATTGAATACATAGCAGGAAAAGGTTTCAGGTTTCCGGCATCCAGGAACGTGACCGACATTTTTCTTCGTTCTGGCAAAATGATGACTATGCACGCGTGACGAATCGCCAGCAGCCGGTGCAGCCGAAAAAAGGTGCTGTTAACAGTTTTTTTTCCTAGCGCACCGCACATACGAAATATGCAAAAATGGCAAATAGATGCGAGCAGGACATTGCAGGACTCCTGAATCTTGTTGGCGCTCTTATCATTCTCTGCTTTTATTTATTAACCCATGCGCGAACCGTACCGGATATTTTCGTTCGCATAGAAACCTGCACGAGACATCGTAAAAATTGCAAGAAGTATTTCGTGCATGCAACGGAACACGCAACGATATATTTTATCTCATATTTTATCTCATTTTTGATTTGAAAAATTGTTCAGTTGGATCTATAGATAAAATACACTTTGTTCATTATTTTTATATAATGTATTATCCGCGCAAATCATTGTCAAATGAAAAATTGCGATCCGAAAAAATTTAATTATTTTTTGACGCCGTATTCTCTTGTTTTATTTTTTGCGCTATAGTATTGCAACACGTGTATATATACACACACACACAGTATTTCTGAATTAAAAATTAAACCAGCAACATTTATAATATAGCATTTGAGATAACCGATATAGATACAGATAATCCATAATAAAATCATTTGTAAAATTAAAGAATAGCACATCTATGTTCATATAAAATCTAATTACTGTGCTAGTATAAGAAATTAATTAACATTGTTTTGCCATGAATGATAAACTCAGCATAAAGTAAATCGAAACAATTTTCACAAAAATTTCAATTTCGGGCGAGCACGCCAGAAAACTATTTAGCTCGATTCGATTCAATTAATATCGATTACAAAACAATTCAATGTTATCGAACTGTTGCTGTCAACAATATTTCTGGACATAAAGTTTGCAATATATGGGCACTAAATCAATCGCTGATGGTGAACTCTTCGATAAACAATTTCTTCATTGTTTTCCACATCAATAACAAAGCATGTCATCATGTGAATTTTAAACGACGATAGAATTGCATATTCATGAATAAACAGTTGGGTTCATATTCCTTTTCGGGAAAGGAAAATGATTATATGCATCACTGCACTATCTGCGTCATAGTATTATTTAAGATTGTGTGCGTAATTAATTTTATATAAGAAATATATATAACAGTATGCTGTAAAAACATTTTATTTAAAGTAAATTGGAAAAATAATTATTATTTATGTTAAGTAAACATAAAGCGCTCTCAAAATTAATTTGCGTTGATGGTAAATACTAAAGTTCAAAATTGAAAATTTTATAATTAAAGTCTTTTTATCCTCTCCTTGTAACTAGATGCGCTAGTCTAACATTTATGGAAGATTTCTGTATTCTTCATTTTACAGAAAGAGAGAGAAAAAGAGAAAGAGAGAGAGAGAGAAGTCAAGTGGATTACAACAAGGACTTACCAAGTTTAGCAGATAGACATTTGTCACTGTCCGCATCCGTTTGTTCCTCGCCAGGGTGATGAGCACCAAAGAATTCCCGACGATGGAAAGGAAGAAGATTGTACCGTATAACGGTATAATGAGATTCTCCAGGAGGCTGTCTTGAACCGACGATTGTGAAATGACTGGCGTGGTGACGTTGGCAATTTCGGAAGTGACGGTGGAGAACCGGGGAAGGTCGGTAACGATCGGCGAGCCGTCATCGACCACTAAAACACCAAAATATTCGGTGGAAACCAGGTTATCGGATAGATTGCGTTCTTGAATCGACATTTTCTTGTCGCGCTCGTGTGCTCGTCGATCTTTCGTCATTCCACCCCACGTCGACTCAAGCGCTCATATCGGCGAAAGTATCCTACACCGGACGTTACACATCATTTTCAAATGTCACTTTATCAAACCCTTGTCACATAACTGCACTGATGAATATAGGTTTTGTTCACTGCTCATTAATTTCCTAATGTCGCTTTAGTTGATAACTGTGCTACGATAAAGTCAACCACTTTTTTCCACAATTTCAAACATATTTTCTATAGTTCTGCAGTTTCTATCACACTTCGCGAGAGATTTATCACTACAATTATTGCGGTAGTGTTTTGAGTATTAATATGAAACTGTTGTTATAATATATTAACTAAAAAGGTTTTTAAAAAATATATATAGCACTGATATAATTTAAATATATTTAAAAAAATCTAAAAGTATATTATATGTAATAATGACTTTTGCGATTCACGCTTGCCACTTGATTGTAATTTTACTCGGTCTTCTAAAATTTGTAATGGCTCTCTCGACGAGTATCTGTAAAAAAACAAAATACATGAATTATTAAAGCAATAATTCTGTGAATAATGTGATATGCTTAACAGATAGAACGTATAGGCGTGTATTTGCATTTCTATTTTCCACAAGCGGTATATATTTAGCTTAAATATTCCTATAATAATGCAGATTGCTATTAGAATTTTAATATTATACAGTTTATTCCATTTCTATTTTTAAATCTCACAAAGCAAGAACTTTTTGAAAACATTTCAACATTAACAGAGATGAATTAATATTTGTATCACACGGTAAAAGAAAAGTTAAAACCATTTTTTAAAAATTATAAAAATATAATAAAATAAAGAAAAAAATCTTATAAATAATGTTTGTTCTATAATATGCGTCTCTGTCAACTGAAGTCAACTGACAATTACGTATTTATTATAGCTTCTAATTCTTCGCTTTTACTATCATAATTCTTACTATTCCTATCATGTTGATATTATCAATAGAACGGAATATGTATACACACAAAGTTTGTTTAATTTTTATTATTACTACTAAATTTTACTCTCATTAGAGAATGAGTATAATAATTTCTAATTCTGTGTTTCAAAAAAATGAGATGTATTATAAATATAACAGCTTCTTAGTCCGCTGATTGTGTGAAAACATAGCATCCTTAGGCAGTTACGAATTTTTCTTTGTTTGTTTTTCCTTTATACTGCATTTTCTTTACACTTCTTGACATTCTAAAACTTGTGCTGCATCGCTGTTCTTGGAATAAAAAAGTTTTGCGTTATCTAGTCTTTATACTTCTTATATCGCCATTCATTCTCACGTTTCGTTTTCTTTTCTTGCTCCTCTCTTCGTAGAACGTAAGAAATATGCTGTGTGTGCTTATTGTAGGTAATTCATTTTATCACTCGTTCAATTTTCCACTATATTACCGATAGTGCCATTGATGAAGCATTTGTCGAGGGAAGAAAAAATCATGCGATCGCGACAC